CTCAGATCTACCTGTATACAGTTGTAGTCTTAACACAATCCTACCCTCAAATCTACAGATATACAGGCTGTATATACAGGTGTAGTCCTATCATAATCCTAACCTCAAATCTACCTGTATATACAGGTGTAGATCTAACATAATCCTACCCTCAAATTTACCTGTATATACAGGTGTAGTCCTAACATAATCCTACCCTCAGATCTACCTGTATACAGGTGTAGTCTTAACACAATCCTACCCTCAAATCTACAGATATACCGGTGTAGCCGTAACATAATCCTACCCTCAAATCTACCTGTATATACAGGTGTAGTCCTAACATAATCCTAACCTCAAATCTACCTGTATATACAGGTGTAGTCCTAACATAATCCTACCCTCAGATCTACCTGTATATACAGGTGTAGTCCTAACATAATCCTACCCTCAGATCTACCTGTATACAGGTGTAGTCCTAACACAATCCTACCCTCAAATCTACCTGTATATACAGGTGAAGTCCTAACATAATTCTTCCCTCAGATCTACCTTTATATACAGGTGTAGTCCTAACATAATCCTACCCTCAGATCTACACCTATTTACAGGTGTAGTCCTAACACAATCCTACCCTCAGATCTACCTGTATATACAGGTGTAGTCGTAACATAATCCTACCCTCAGATCTACCCGTATATACAGGTGTAGTCCTAACATAATCCGACCCTCAGATCTACCTGTATATACAGGTGTAGTCCTAACATAATCTTACCCTCAAATCTACCTGTATGTACAGGTGTAGTCCTAACACAATTCTAACCTCAGATCTACCTGTATATACAGGTGTAGTCCTAACATAATCTTACCCTTAGATCTACCTGTATATAAAGGTGTAGTCTTAACATAATCCTTCCCTCAGATCTACCTGTATATATACAGGTGTAGTCTTAACATAATCCTACCCTCAGATCTACCTGTATATATAGGTGTAGTCCTAACATAATCCTAACCTCAGATCTACAGATATACAGGTGTAGCCCTAACATAATCCTACCCTCAAATCTACCTGTATATATAGGTGTAGTCCTAACATAATCCTAACCTCAAATCTACCTGTATATACAGGTGTAGTCCTAACATAATCCTACCCTCAGATCTACAGATATACAGGTGTAGCCCTAACATAATCCTACCCTCAAATCTACCTGTATATACAAGTGTAGTCTTAACACAATCCTACCCTCAGATCTACCTGTATATACAGGTGTAGTCTTAACATAATCCTACCCTCAAATCTACCTGTATATACAGATGTTGTCCTAACATAATCCTACCCTCAGATCTACCTGTATATACAGATGTTGTCCTAACATAATCCTAACCTCAAATCTACCTGTATATACAGGTGTAGTCCTAACACAATCCTACCCTCAAATCTACCTGTATATACAGATGTTGTCCTAACATAATCATAACCTCAAATCTACCTGTATATACAGGTGTAGTCCTAACATAATCCTAACCTCAAATCTACCTGTATATACAGGTGTAGTCCTAACACAATCCTACCCTCAGATCTACCTGTATATACAAGTGTAGACCTAACATAATCTTACCCTAAGATCTACAGATATACAGGAGTAATTCTAACATCATTCTCACTCAGAGTATATACAGGACGTGGGGAATCAAATCAAGTATATTCATGATCACATGATTTGGCAATAAGGCTATTCATATTTACACAAATGTTGTACAAAGTTAATACAAACAACTTCATTTTTTTAATGTATCTCCATATTTATTTTTGCCACAGTATGTTTTTCTATTTTAGTCTTAATTATTTTTTTCTCTCTATTTAGTTAACAGTTCTTTTTTAAAACTGCATTTACTCCTTTTAAGGGGGATGATTTTATAAATAACAAAATAATGAAAAGCATGACAACACTGCTAAAGAAAAAAACAAAATAATAAAAGATAACGCTAGAACAATTTTTTGACTGGCACTTTTCTACAATATCTTTCTTCCTGATATTAATTAATGATACTTCGCCAATGAAATAACCAGGTTAAAAAAAATCACACTTAATGCTTGCATGGTGTTTGATGGTTTTCTGAATCAAATATCTTAAAATGAGTTAGCAAAATCTACAAATGTGTAAAAATGGTCTCTGTGTCAGGAAGACTATAAATTCAAATGTGTGGGGAGTTCTACATGCATAAATAAGTCAGCAAAATCTGTAAATATGCCAGGCATTTAACATTTTATCTACATCAGAATTATACCTTACAAGTATGAACAGAACCTTCGCTGACAGATACTGGCAATTTAAAAAAAAAAATCCTTAGTAAATTGATATTCTATTTATCAGATACTGCTTGCCGGAATTCTTACTGTCGGCCTGTGTAGCATGTTATTATAAAATGAATTCATCCTCCCTTTTTATTAATTTTCAGATACTTCCAGTAATACCGGTAAATATCCTATCGTTTTTTTATTTTCGTATCTCGCAAAAGAGCCAAACTTATTTAAAAATGTAAATATTTCAACAGTAAATGTTGTTGAAAACCTTCTTCTGTCTGTATTTACAAAGTGTTACTGGTCTGATAATTATGGAAAGTCTATGCAAGTGTTTAACATTGAATTATTAAAAAACGGGGGTGAGGGATCAAGTCATCTTTGAAAGAATATTTGAGGTAACAAAATTGATTTTCTTTAATTCCTTTTTTTTTTTATTTCTTTTTCAAAATGTCACTCTTTTGTCCATAGAGGATATACCCTGTACAAAAAGAAAATCCAACCAAAATATTGGACTATAGTGATGAAAGACCTAAGCTCTTAGATTGAAACCAAGACTGGTAGAGTTGTCTCCCCTTAGTCTAATGTGCCGTTCATTTTGATTTGGGTTCAGCCAGCTGAACTACCAATAAACTGTTGGTATCTCAATAAAACACAAAAACTTAAACATAAGCAAATCTAATAAAAGTAATATCTTAAAGAAATTCTCTGCAGACTGACAGTGAAACTTCCTATTTCAATATTTCTGACACACATATAATATCTTAAAATTAAAAAACTGTTTCCAAACAACATATATGTGCCTACCCTGGTAATTGACTTCATCGAGGGACAGAAAAAACTGTCCCGTTATTAAATTATCCGAGCACTATTATCATACTCATTCTTACTCAAAAACTTAACAAGGTCGATCAGTAGCAAATGTTACGACAACAAATAGTTTGACTCAAAAGGAAGCACTAATACTGTACATATTTCTAAACAGTAACAAATATAACAGCTAATTTGATTGTCACCAATCAGATTTTTTTATCTTACTGGAATCTAGGGTTGTGAAGCACCTTGGACAAAACAACGTCTTAAAGCAAAAATGATATTGTTAATTGTAATTATACACGATAACATTGAAATAACAAGTATGAAATATTAATACTTTGATATGCTTAAGTTTTGTAGTAAAAGAGCTTTTATCATCAGAGGTATGTTGAAAGCACTGTGAGTATCAATCCCTATGTCCTATTTCTATCTCAGCACTATCAGTCCCTGTGTTCTATTTCTATCTCAGCACTATCAGTCCCTGTGTCCTATTTCTATCTCAGCACTATCAGTCCCTGTGTCCTATTTCTATCTCAGCACTATCAGTCCCTGTGTCCTATTTCTATCTCAGCACTATCAGTCCCTGTGTTCTATTTCTATCTCAGCACTATCAGTCCCTGTGTTCTATTTCTATCTCAGCACTATCAGTCCCTATGACGTCCTATTTCTATCTCAGCACCATCAGTCCCTATGTCCTATTTCTATCTCAGCACTATCAGTCCCTGTGTCTTATTTCTATCTCAGCACTATCAGTCCCTGTGTCTTATTACTATCTCAGCACTATCAGTCCCTGTGTCTTATTACTATCTCAGCACTATCAGTCCCTATGATGTCCTATTTCTATCTCAGCACTATAAGTCCCTGTGTTCTATTTCTGTCTCAGCACTATCAGTCCCTGTGTCTTATTACTATCTCAGCACTATCAGTCCCTGTGTCCTATTTCTATCTCAGCACTATCAGTCCCTGTGTCTTATTACTATCTCAGCACTATCAGTCCCTGTGTCTTATTACTATCTCAGCACTATCAGTCCCTATGTCCTATTTCTATCTCAGCACTATCAGTCTCTGTGTCTTATTTCTATCTCAGCACTATCAGTCCCTGTCTTATTACTATCTCAGCACTATCAGTCCCTGTCTTATTACTATCTCAGCACTATCAGTTCCTGTGTCCTATTTCTGTCTCAGCACTATCAGTTCCTGTGTCCTATTTCTATCTCAGCACTATCAGTCTCTGTGTCTTATTTCTATCTCAGCACCATCAGTCCCTGTCTTATTACTATCTCAGCTCTATCAGTCCCTGTGTCTTATTACTATCTCAGCTCTATCAGTTCCTGTGTCCTAATTCTATCTCAGCACTATCAGTTCCTGTCTTATTACTATCTCCGCACTATCAGTCCCTGTCTTATTACTATCTCAGCACTTTCAGTCCCTGTCTTATTACTATCTCCGCACTATCAGTCCCTGTCTTCTTACTATCTCAGCACTATCAGTCCCTGTCTTCTTACTATCTCAGCACTATCAGTCCCTGTGTCCTATTTCTATCTCAGCACTATCAGTTCCTGTGTCCTATTTCTATCTCAGCACTATCAGTCCCTGTGTCTTATTTCTATCTCAGCACCATCAGTCCCTATGTCCTATTTCTATCTCAGCACTATCACTCCCTGTGTCTTATTACTATCTCAGCACTATCAGTTCCTGCCTTATTACTATCTCAGCACTATCAGTCCCCGTGTCCCATTTCTATCTCAGCACTATCAGTTCCTGTGTCCTATTTCTATCTCAGCTCTATCAGTCCCTGTGTCTTATTTCTATCTCAGCACCATCAGTCCCTGTCTTATTACTATCTCAGCACTTTCAGTCCCTGTCTTATTACTATCTCAGCACTATCAGTCCCCGTGTCCCATTTCTATCTCAGCACTATCAGTTCCTGTGTCCTAATTCTATCTCAGCACTATCAGTCCCTGTGTCTTATTACTATCTCAGCACTATCAGTCCCTGTGTCTTATTAACCTTTACCAATCTATCTTGGCACTTTCATTATACTGACCATTTATAGTGTGCAGATTGCGAAACCTTTTCCTGATCTCTGAAACAAGGACTTGTCGGATTATCTGATCTGTATTTTGTTTTCCTCTCATTGCATAATAGGAACATATCATACATTGTAGGTAAACTTTGAAAATTAAAAAAGAAATAGAAAAATATCAAATCTTTGAATACACGGAAAGATGGAAAATGTTCAGTGCTTGATTTCCTCACGCTTATCCATTGAACTTAAAACGAATTCCTTCAAAGTACATGTAATTCAACAGCAAATGACTAGACGCCTACAATCATGTTAAGGTACTTATACTTTTAGTCATTAAATCACCAAGACTTTTGTCTGCAAAACATAGTCATGAGACAGGTCAGTATGAAGATTTAAAAAAATAAAATAAAAAATGTATAGGTTATTTTTCAACCTTTCTGTCATAAACATAAATAATTGATATATTTAGCTACTTGGTACAGCCTTTACAGTTTCCACAAAATAATAATAATTACATTCATTTTGTGTATGACTTTGGATGTATATCCTTTAAAACATTTCAAGATCACAGACTTGAAAACAACTTAGTAAGGCAACAACATCAATAAAACAATACTATATATATATTGTAAAGCTAATGTCAGCCGAGGAAAAAAAATGATAAAATATATATGTATGTACACTAACCGACCAAGTATACAGAATATAATAAAACTGGTAAATATAACAAATTAACTGTGACCATTTGTTATCAGTACACATTCATAGACCTTTCAGTCTGATCACTGCCGAATGTAGGATTATCTCCCCTTCATTCAATTACTACCCACTGGGATCAGCGAAGTCAATTCTCCCAGATTATTGTATATTGAGACTGACGGAGATAAACCAATATCACACAAAAGCTAGTTTGAAATGCATACAGGATCAATAATCTTACAGCTTTTATTTTAACAGCTTTTTCTGGTTGGAATTGTTCAACGTCTTTTATCAGTATTACTTAAGTAGGTTGATTTATACTTGAGTTAAAATCAACATTGAATAAATAGTTGGTTATATGAGAGACAACTCGACTATCTAAAACTCCTTATTTTACACATAATATCACAGATGAGTATAATGACCACACCAGCTATACTACCAGCAATCACAAACATTTATATACATTATGACATCTGTTGTCCACACAGGTTCTTTTTTTTTTAAATATATAGTGGATAAATATTTCTACAGGACGAATATAATATCTAGAATTTATCATGTTAAAACTACAGTAAAACCTTGTTATAATGCCCTTTAATCCATGTGCCACCTCGCCAACATATTTCAAGGTTCCTTTTTCTCTGGACAAAGGGAGGCAGTATAACAAGGTTTACTGTAGGCAGTATAACAAGGTTTGCTGTAGGCAGTATTACAAGGTTTACTGTAGGCAGTATAACAAGGTTTACTGTAGGCAGTATAACAAAGTTTACTGTAGGTAGTATAACAAGGTTTACTGTAGGCAGTATAACAAGGTTTACTGTAGGCAGTATAACGAAGTTTACTGTAGTTGTCGTGCAAGCATGACTTAATTCTCTATAGATATTTTATGATTCACAGGCACAGATCTAGGATTTTTTCAAACAGGGAAATGCACATATTCCCAAAAACAACCAAAATATCTTAAATGGGGCACTGGGCCTAGATCCACCTTTGATTCATTAGCTAACATGATTTATCAAATAACATTTTAAAATATATTCATACATATCTTCATGTGATTTATCAAATTATGTGGTGAACATTTTCACGTGTATGAAAACTGAACCAAACATGATTGAAAGTTTGATTACATTAATCCAACTAATAGTAACAAAATATCTACCTGGTACTTATGATGTGAATTTACTTGTAGTTATCATTAACTCATTCACCCCTGAAGTTTCATGATGAACTATTCCAACCTTTGAATTGGAAGAGTTCAAATGTGTCTTCAGGGGTGAGTGAGTTAACAAGACCTCGCCCCAGGATCATGAAACAGTCAAAGATTTATGTTCAAATTTTAAACGTCAATGCAATAAATATTTATCTTGACAATTTAACGAGGAATTGAAGAATAAAACAACATCCTAATTTGGACTGAAGCCTTAATATTTTCATGATCTTGGGGACATGTTTCTTGAAAATTGTGCGTGTTGATGATATCACAGGGGACAGACAAGAGGATATAACTGTTGTCATGGTAATACAAAAAAGGCGACATCAAGTATGGGGAGGCAAACAATTGATTAGATCACAAAAAGGGTCACAATTTTGATGACGACGATACTGGTATATCTAGACAGGTTTTATCACAACTTCAGCATGAAACACATCAAAGACTTTATATTACATGCTTTTATACGTCTCCTTTAACATACATCGCAACAATATCGCAGAATTAGGTTTCACGCTATAATTCTATTTTCTGGAGATTTCTTCTGTTAATCGACCAGGTAAATATAACACCTGGACTTTTTTTCCGTGTCTGGAATTACATAGGTCTTTACAGGGTTTGAACCCCCTTAGTATTTGACCACTTCTATTACAGATGGGTACCTATAGCACTATCACAGACATTTTCTAACAACGAGACAATCAAACTCACTTAGGTAACAGCATGTCTTTGAGGAACAGGCTTTGTCATACTACGAAGAAGTGATGATAGTGACACTCTTGAATGATGCAGGCAGCTCACCTGGAGAAGTGCCGACTTTTCAGTGGTTTCAGTTTGGCTCGTTGCATTTCCTCGGAATATAATATCATCGAAGTGGATAAATTTGAGTATTCAAACATTTTGTGATGGTGACAAGTGTTTTTAATAACTAGTGATAAGGTTTAAGGGTAAAGTAAACTGAAAGCCCTGAATTATCTCCCCTTTCAGCAGTTTTCACATTGGGAAGTCATAATTATCTTCTTCCACTAACACCCTGCTTCGACGACAGAAACAGAAACAGGAGCCCTTGCACTGCTGCCAGCGTGAGAACTGGGCCTTCCGCTGGATGTGAAGACTGGGAGTCTTTTGTCCCATCAGCTGGTCATATCGTTCTTTCTCCTTAACATACCTGTATGATAAAGACCATTATTAAACGACAACCATTTCAAAGAAATATCCTGTTTAAGACTTGAGTAATTTTTAAACAGGGCAGTTTGTACTGCCAATGACACATGAATATACAAAAGTTTATTTTCAAAATTTGATTTGCAGATCTGTAGGACATAAGTCAAACTTGTTAGCAGAGATATATGTGACGTTTGTACCCGTATACAGTTTTATCAAATTAACAAAGGAGAGACCCGCCTGGGTCATTGCAAAAATGGAATTTCACAAGTTTGCCTTTTGGCCCCTTTTTAAAACCTGTCCAGATTTAACATTTCCCTGTCAGCTAGCATCTCTTTCCTACTGCATAAATGCAAAACAACATTAACATAGCTCATAGATGGATACTAACCCAGGTAAACATGGGGCTACCTATGGGACAGTTAGATATCTAACTATTCAGTTCTTAAATTTTATAACCAACAGGGCATCACAAGTGATACAAATCCCTTCGCATTCACACATTGTGACATATGTAAGAGGAAATGAAGTCGCAAGAGCGATGGCAAAGTTTTTTCTAAAAAAAAGTAACAGTGACCTTGACCTTCAACATAGAAACCCGAAACGAGAACTTATTCAAGGTATTGTCATACTTAACACTTGTATGAAGTTTCATGAAATTCCGTTGAGGAATGAAGTCGCTAGAGTGATGAAAAAGAGTGTAACACACGTACATACGTACGGGTGGAATCCTATATCCCCTGTTTTGTTGCGAGGGAATTTAAGTAATCGGCTTACCATTGTCGACCCTAAGTTACAGATACTCACCACACTGGAGGCCATTGGTTCTCCTCTATTAATGCCAAGTTCTCCTTCTGTAGGCTACGCAACTCCCGGCAAAACCTTTTACTGGCCTCACGGTAATGGATACACACGTAATGCTGACACCAGGCAGCTAACTGGAGTGCATTGTGGAACTATCGGTAAAAAATGTAACCAATCATATTCATTGAAGCATTCAATATCATTCTTGATTTAACTGTTAAACAAGCAGAACTAGATACCTGTCTTAAGGGAACTTGCCCAGTACAGCAATGATTTGGCAATGATTTTTAAACATTTTATAAGGAAACAGTAGACTTGATATGTTGACCACTGTTAACCACTGTTGTGATGTTGTCATGGTTTAATTACCTGCACTAAACGCGTCTATGAAAGATTTATTTGTATCTCCCTATCTGGGCACTGTTCCTCTGCCCCAAGGAGATGCCACACCCTCTGTTTATGTAATGTTGAGTCCTCTTGGCCTAACAATAGTCAGATTAAATTTGGTTAAAATCCACTCAGCCTTTCAGAACCATTAGTGTTTTAAAGGAAATGTTGCTGCACAGAGGGAGAGATGAGGGATGCTAAACTGTGGTATGGTATAAGTTCACATGGCCCATGAGCTCTTAAGTGAAATAGCATCCAGCCAGTATTGGTCATCATTATCAAACGTTATGACTATGACATCACAATTGTAAAGACACCAAGGACCTCACTCTAGCTTTAAGGTCGTATAAAACACAGCTAGCTTTGGTAGGTTTGTGTAATGGCTTAACAAAGGTACACAAAGTGCTTTAATCAATCCATTTTTCCAAGTGCTATATCTAGACAATTTTGTCCATTTACTACATTCAATTTCACATCTTCCTCTCATAAATTATTCACAAGGCTCAGCGATATCTAGCTTAATCACCCTCAGATAACACAACAATGTACTAATATTTCTGAACAGTTAAAAGAAAATTGTATTTGAATGAACATTGACATGCTAATAAATACTGAAACATCTGGGTCAAGGTCATTCACTTGAACAAACTTGATAGCCCAATTTAACCTAGCATGCTACAGGCAAACAGATTATTACCCTGGCCTAATTTGTTACTAATGAAGATGTTTCAAGGAAGAAGTTGACACACCTTCGATCAATTATTCATAACCCAGCATACATACGTGAGATTCCACTAAATTATAACATACAGTAAACTGGTTCCAGTCATCTGAGGGGTGATGAACATTAAATGAACCTTGAATGAACATAGAACATCAAACATTGAGCAATATGACTAATGCTCAGATGGTCAAAAATTAAATTTCATTGGTTTTTATGAAGGTTTCACTTTCGAGATTTTTGTTGCAACAATTTTCTGAGAAAAACAAATCCTGCAAACTACATCTATCCTTACCATAGTACTATTTGACACATCCACTAGACCTGAAATCTGTGTAAAACAGATCCAATGAATTGTATCAAAATAACAAATCTGCGATTTTAGGGGCCTCAGAACTATAACTGGTTATTAAAAGAACTTTGGGTATGAGCAGTTGTTCAGCTTTGATCGTTCCTGATGACTTCTCCCACCCTGAATCACAGGTGTGTCTCCCTTTTAATCCGGAAAAGATCAGCTTGTCACCTACTAGGGGGAAAAGCCTCCTGCAGATTCGTGCGATCTAAGTCATAACAATAGTATGACGTCACATCAATAGTAGCAGACCATGGGAGACAACTCTAGATTTGCTGGAAAAACATGCAATTACCGCTTATATTTCATGCAATCACACTTGTCAGTGGATTTGTGAGTGAAACAGGATGAGAGAAAAACAATCATTCCCTACCTTGAGGGTGTGACAGAAATCTCCCTCGGGATGATATTCTCGAATGTCTCGGCAAAGCCTCGGGTAAGACAATCAAGAAAATCATCCCTCGGGTTGGAGATTTCTCTGTCACACCCTCAAGGTAGGGGAAGATTCTATTCATCCTTATATATGTAATTACCTGAGATGGCTCTATCAACATGAGCACTTCCTCCAAAATGTCCTCGTCACATCGTGCGGCTCGGCTCAGCTCCGTCACAACATAGTCCTCTACCAAGGAGATTAGGTGGGGTAGACAGAGGCGGTTGGCCACAGCAATGAGAGCCAGCTGGTCTACAGAGTCCAGACTCTGTATCTTGTCTGTGTATAGGTACTCTTGTAGGACACCAAATACCTCACAGGTCACATCAGGTAAAGGAATCTATAAATTGACAGGGAATTCCCAGTCTAAGTAAAGATATACAGTGTTCCCCAAGTGTAAATGTCTCTATAAATAGAAAGGATTTTCAAGTCTAAATAGTGTTTCCCAAAAGTAGTAGTCCTCCCTTATATGTAATTCCGTATTTGTTTAACTTTCTCACTTTTTGAGATAAGCATACCATTTTAGGCTAAACAATAGCTGTTCAAACACTATGTGGGCTTTGTGTATAAAGATATGAACCATTTGAATAGGAAAAAATCTAGAAATCAATGGAACCACAAAATCACCCTTGAGTGTCCATCCTTATATTTCAGGGGTTTGGCAGTTGGGCAGTTTGAGTTTTTGAAGTGTGACTTTGCATTTGGTGATATGGAAGCTAGATATGGGGTTCAGGAATTTGAGGGTTTAGGAGTTGTGTTTTTAAAATTTTAAGATTTACATGCTAGGTGGTATGGACTTTGGGGTTAAGGGTTGGAGAATTTGAGGGCTTACAAATTTGGTACCAGGCTTTGGAGGTGGAGGAAAGCCAGAGTACCTGGAGTAAAAACCACTGACCTGCGGTCATTACCTGGCAACTGACCCACTTAGGCCTCGAACCCGCGACCCAGTGGTGGAGGGCTAGTGGTAGCAGAATGTCAGATGCCCTAACCACTCGGCCACCACAGCCCCTGGCTGGTTGGAAGTTATGGTAAAGGGTTAAGGGCTGTGAAGATTAAGGATTTTGAAGGTTGGAGGAAGGAATTAAAACAAACCACATGAGCGGAGGCCTCCAGGAAGTTGTCAGTAAACATGGCACACATCATCTCACAGCGCGCGATGAGCAGGGGCTTATGGGCACCTACCACTCCATCGTCTACCTCAAAATGGATGTCTGCAAAACACAGGTGTAATGGAACTGTTGTTATCAGCACAACTTTTAACATTGTGATTGCAACTAGACATTCATTATTGGATTTTTTCTCTACTTCTCTTAATGAACATGTTATTTACTTATGATATTGGCTATATATGCTAACCATCAAAGAAATTATCACACTTAACAGATGCCCCTATCATAATAGTATTAGCCTCTGGAAACTCCTATAGTATAATAATGTGACCATTTAGAGGCTGCTCAAAAATGGTTTGACATACTGCAAGTTAATTTGTTAATCTCTAGTTGTAAGTTCTCCTTTAGATGCCCCTATAAGAAAGGTTTTTTTCTCACTTTTACAATATCACTTACCCTTTTGAAGCCCCTATTAAAATTCAACTTACCCTTTAGGAGCCCCTAGGAGAATTCAACTTACCCTTTAGAAGCCCCAAGGAGAATTCAACTTACCCTTTAGGAGCCCCTGTTCAAAAATCAACTCCTGAAGCTTATCCACTCTGTCGGTGTGGAATCGTTTCTCCAGACCCAGGTTGAGGTAAGTCTCCTGGGTTTGTAAGTTAGACAGAGCCACCAGCATAGGGAACAACTTGAGAAGCTCGGCAGCTTGTTGTACCTCCAACAACTGACTGTATTCCTCTCGCACCCGACCAGTATACAAGTACTCCAGGACGCACTGTAATGCCTGGGGCGTGATTTCCTGCGTAACCGTGACGACTGTCTGCTGAACACCTTCACCTGTTGAGTTCTTGCTACGTACTGTTTCAACTTTTTCAAATGCTGCATGGTTCAAATATCTTGTGCTGATAATGTCTCGTCTGCCATGCCGTACCATACGGTCATCCGAACAATTAGAATTTGCATCAATGATGGGAGATTCTTCTAGAATATCCTCATTATCCAAAAGCACCTGTTCGTCCTCTTTGTTAGTTCTTTTCTCCGTCCTTCCATTAGTCTGAGGAACACTACCGCCTTCTTGCTCCTTTATGTCCATCAAGAGAATTTCACGGAAAAGTTCAGAAGCAATAACCAAACAGATCTTGTGTGCGCGGATACGTACGCCCCGGACATTAAAGATGATATCACCATCATTTTGATCTTTAAACAACTGTGCAAGGTTAAGGTCAAAAGTTGATGCTGCCACGGTGACTGTTGGAAATGAAGACTGAGGAACCTGCAGTGGTGATTGGATCAGAGGATACTGTATACGTCGTAGCTGTGTGTTCCAAAATTTTATTTTACGTCTCTCGACCATGGCTGCTCTCACTACATTGAAGAAGACATCCTCGATGCCGTAGTTGAAAAGGATGCTGGTCTCGTAGTACGGAGCACCAATCATCCGTGCCACCTCACGTCCTTGGTCGGGCGTAATGATGTCACCTTTATCTATCGCCCTGAAAACACACATTGTTTCCATGGTAACGTACAGTTCCCATTTTAGTGTAAAATTCTTTAATGTTTCTTCATACAAACACACAGCTTCTTATTTAAAAATCTAATGTATATGTCTATGCCAATAAGACTGTTCTACAAAGTAGCAAGTTTATCTTTACAACTGTACAGAATATGCTCACAATGGTCGACTATCACACGCGGGTCGTACAAGTATTATACTTGTGTTAGGAATACGATTCATCAGTTTAGTATTGATTTATAAAGGCCAAGTTGGTTTTGAACACAAACAGGAATTGTAACCTTATTTTGTGAGATTTAGAAAACGTCTGTTTTCTTTAATTTGTCAAGCAAAGAGTGTAAACGACTGGTGTCTCGACTCTTAACCGCTGAAAACAGCTCACTAAGGCACAGTGGGCTCAATCAAGTAAATTAAGTAAGCTGTCAATAATCATAGAGACATTTCACCCAATTGCATGCTAATACTGCAGGCAGTCAGGGGGACAGGTAACATGTTAGGTTTGAGTTAAAAGGAATTATCGCTCTATTAACATCTTAGCAGTAAAAAAAATACCTAATTAAAATCGATGTCAAACGGGCAACACCAAACACATGAAATTAGGAAAACATCACCAGTAGTTGTCTGTGACAGCTGTGTCGTGTATGAATTCTGACACATGGGAATCATGTAGTGCAAATTTGCTCTAGGTATGAAAACACAAAATTTTGACACAGCGAAATTAAAGCACTTTACTGTAACAAGTATACATGAGAGGATAAACATTAACCCCTACAAAAGTTGGAAATGAAATCAGAATTACTGTTGGGGTAAGTAGGTTCTGCTCCTCCCATGGTACCCTGTTATGAGAATAAGGAATTCGGAGAATATTTCATTTTGGGAAACGCTTACTATTACTAGGCTATGATTGATGAAAAACGTATCATCCACAATCTGAGTGACCTATCTACTGTATATTCATTTTCAGAGGATACATGGCTGAACTTAGACAATTCCGGTGTTATTACTGCACAGGGAAGTTCAATGCATCAACGGAAGTTTCAGAGCATGCAATCACACATCACCCAGACATTCCTGTTCATCACAGATTTTTGATATTGGACGAAACAACAGGGAAGTTACAGTACCATTCAGCTTCCTGGTGTAAATAAGCTTTATTTGATGCAGATAGTAATACATGAAGTGTAGTTTATTTCAAACAAGAGCACATGGTGGAGTAATATTCTCTGGCCACACAGAATTCGGACCTTCAAACGCTTTTGTCACTCTTTACATCACGTTTATTACTCGTATGACCAGCGCGTAGCCTATTTTTAAAAATAATATCAGGAACTGCTAATAATAAATTGACGTATCTTTTACGAAAGAAATTAAGCAGACATTTCTTCAAACTGTGAAAGAATGGGCAGAAATTCTAGGTGAATACCTCTTACTTACTTACATCTGCAACCTTTGTTCGGTGAAAATGACTTAAATATCAATGTTAAAGTGCAAACACAACCAATCAGATTGAAGGACTATATGCTGTAAAGAGAATGGGTTTGTACCCCTTATCGCACACTGACAGAACACCGACCTCCGTCAGTGAAACAAAACTGATCGGTGGTGTCATGTAGGCATTAAATCCGTAAACCAACCAACCTCTTATCAAATATTCCAACTCCATTGAGTTAAAATGTGAAAATGAGGCTACATTGAACTCGAATTTTTTTCACTCATAATTTCCACTTTGCTTCCAAATCAGGTCAGAGCTGAAAATGTTCCCTAGTTTGATGATGAACTGACAACTTACTTGTACAACAAACCCTTCTCCATGCCCCGGTAATGCTGGTCCTTGTACAGGAAGCGCATGTCTGCATGAGTCCCAGCAACGACAACGGGGGTCGTGGAACATTCATTCTTTATTTCTGTCTGCCATTTTGAAAGAATATTGCGTAGAGAATTTGGCTTTACAACACTGAATACCAGGAGCACAACATCAGCCCTGAAAATACATAATACATGCAACTAGCTAAATTACAAATAAAACTTTCACATTCGTTGAAGTATAAAATGGTCTACAGGAAATTGTGAAGTTGAAAAAGTTTCAGGCAATCAGAGTTTCATCATTTTTTTTTATGACTGTTTACCCTTTGTAGGCAAATCCTCTGTCTTTGTCATGGTAACCAAAGGTATCCCATAATCGTAGGGAGACTCGGCAATCATCTACATGGCACCAGGATCTATCAAGAACCTGCGAAAAAAACAATGGAATAAAATGACAGAACGAAAAATCCGAAAAATCATTATGATACATGTTCATTGTAAATTTGAGTATTTCAGGTCACAAACAGTTTAGGCACTAAAATAATAACTAATTATCCTTGATTTTGAACATTAATGTAATGATTTTTTTTTTACAAACAGCGTATAATAAACTGATCAATTGAAAACATACAGTGATCAAATTTGAAAACTTTAGATACTGACCGACCGATGCACTTATAACAAGAGGCCCAGAGGGCCTGTGTCGCTCACCTGGATATTTAAACATTGTTGGGCTCAATTCCAAGAAGCAACCATCCAAATAATATGATTCTATGCATTCTAATTATTCAGGAAAAGTCGTTTGATAAGTTTGACATATTTGACCCCTGTGACCTTGATAGTAAGTCAAGGTCATTTTCATCCTCAAACTTTGTCGGGAACTATCCAAAAAAGCTACCAGCAAAATATAAAGATTCTATACGTTTCAGTTCCTCAGGAGAAGTTGGTCTAAGTGTTTGACATATTTGACCACACTGTGACCTTGAAAGTAGGTTGAGGTAATTTTCAATAGCAAACTTTGTCAGGCTACATCTGTGACAGTTACCAGCCAAATATTATAATTCTATGCCTTTAAATTATTCAGAAGAGGTCACTTAGAGTATTTGATACTTTTGACCCCTGTGACCTTGAAAGTAGGTTGTGGTCATTTTCATTCTCAAACTTTGTTGGGCTCTCTACCAAAAAGCTACGAGCCACATATTAAGATTCTATACCTATCAGTTCTACAGAAGAAGTCGTTTTAAGTATTTGAAACTTTTGATCCCTGTGACCTTCATAGTAGGTCAAGGTCATTTTTGTTCTTAAACTTTATTGGGCGCTAACCAACGAAGCTATCACCAAATTATCATGACTTTAGGCCTGTCCATTCTTCAAAAGAAGTTGTTTAAAGGAAAAGTTGACGGACGACGGACGACAGACGCCACACCACAGCATATTAAGTTCACTAGCCCTTAGGGCAGGTGAGCTAATAACTGACCTCCTTGTCATTCCTGTAGTGGTCAGTAGCCCAAACCGTTGATACATGGGTCTTGACCAGCTGTTCTAATCTGTACTTAGTGTCGCAGGCCCAGGCCCGCACCAAGCATGTCTTGCCCACGCCCGAGTCGCCGACGACTACACACTTGATGTACTCGTACTGACTGCTCCCGGTGCTGATGTCGCTCGGCGCCTTGTTTACCATCACTATAGGTGGCAATGTCAGGACAGGGATTTTCAATGTCAGCTTGGGTTGTATGCATATCTGTAAAGATATGAATATAAACATGAGAGATTTTAAGATACAGTATACTGTTAAATTTCGTGGGGCTATATTTTCATGGTTGTCCCGATCAGAACCAGTTTGCAGGGGTTAAATTTCGTGCAATATGGCCAGGTGAAAATATCGCGTTGGCAGAGGAGTGTACTTTTGCACTTGGGTGATGAGATTTATTTTACATATGTTTTGTGAAAATAAAGTAAAATATGACATTGAATTGTTGTTTTATCTTCATTATTTGGCAGTGAACAGGTAACAGATTTATTTCTGTATATATAACTATGTTTTCATGGGAAAATATTGTGGTATTAATATTCGCTTGGTATTTAGTAAGTGCTATCTTTAAATTGGTGACTGCAAATAATTAGCGAAATTAAATTTCCAGCGTAAAATACTAACTATACAGTAAACATAGAAACCATTTCGGAATTGTTCCTAGCTGTATTTTGCCTTTGTACAACATCAAAAATTTCTACAACATAAAACATTTCTATAAACATCTTGGAATGTACACTGTTCATATGATCCAGGGTTCCGTTTAGTCCTTTCATCTATAAACAAAGACCAAAGATGTTTCATAAAGCATATTTTGTTGAGATCCATATTCATTTATATATCTGTACATATTATGTATATGGTTACGGGTTTGAAACTCAATCATTTCCATGATATGTCCATGGAACTTAAGTCCCCAGCGGTGAGGCCAGAACCCTAGGCTTCTCATGGTAGCATGATCTTACTCATCTTTGTATTCATGCTCAGAAAACACTTGTTAATTATATGATGTTTATATCATTTAAACAATGTCTCCTTTGTCCAAGGATGTTCCGAATCAAATTTAGCCAAAATCTCCTCAACTGCTCTGGAATAGTAGTTTTTCAAAGGAAAATCTGACCACAGACAATGGACATTGCGCTAGTGCATGAATTGACCTGCACTTTGGACAGGTAGGCTAAAAATACATTAGGAATATAGATATTTTCAGTGAAAACGTGCGTTTGAGTAATTCACAATCATCACTCAATTTTTATGTCAAATAAATTGTTTGATACCATACATATTATAAACCATGTCTGTGGATAAAGCTGCTAATGTTTCGTGAGACTTTTAATTGTTAAGTGGTGAAATGAAAGTCAAGAGCTACCATCTGGTTGCAGCCTGTAATTAATCATAAGTGTGCACTGTGCATTCTTGTAACATATTTTACAGACACTGGGAATTAATTTTCACAGCCCATTGCTCCTGGCACACTGTAACCTTCATACCAAGCTGGAACCACGTAAACAAATAATCTAGTAGCTGGTAACTCTCAGGTACGTACATGTTATAATTACTGTAATTTTACTAATAAACAGACCTGTACTTGTAAACGTGATGGGAATGCAATAAATCCGACACTGATATACCATTCATATAGAAGGGCTGGTACATAGTACAGGCCACACCTACTAACAAACAGAAGCATTAGACTTATATACCAGGAGGAAAAATGCTACATTGTATGGGGCCAAACTTATATTCGAACTTGGAACTTCCAAGCTCTAGTTGGGTGTTCTAATTTAGCTACAGCTGGTCAACAGCTGTTATGCTGTCCCTTAACATGTAGATGTTTGAGAAGTGAAAATTTATGTTTTAATTACTTAATTAACCATTTAACATTTTAACACGACATTTAATACTGCCATATAAACCAAACTTCATCTTGTCATATGTATATATATTCTGGTGGCAAGCAAAGTGACACCTTCTGCTACTACTGCTAGTATACATGATAAACTGTTTAGAGTACCTCAGTACCTCCACATCTCTGTTTTGTGTACCTCAGTACCTCCACATCCCCTTTTTGTGTACCTCAGTACCTCCACATCTCTGTTTTGTGTACCGCAGTACCTCCACATCTCTGTTTTTTGTACCTCAGTACCTCCACATCTATGTTTTGTGTACCTCAGTACCTCCCCATCTCTGTTTTGTGTACCTCAGCACCTCCACATCTCTGTTTTGTGTGCCTCAGTACCTCCACATCTCTGTCTTGTGTACCTCAGTACCTCCACACCTCTGTTTTGTGTACCTCAGTACCTCCTCATCTTTGTTTTGTGTACCTCAGTCCCTCCACGTCTCTGTTTTGTGTACCTCAGTAACTCCACATCTCTGTTTTGTGTACCGCAGTACCTCCACATCTCTGTTTTATGTTCCTCAGTACCTCCACATCTCTGTCTTGTGTACCTCAGTACCTCCACACCTCTGTTTTGTGTACCTCAGTACCACCACATCTTTGTTTTGTGTACCTCAGTACCTCCTCATCTTTGTTTTGTGTACCTCAGTTCCTCCAAGACTCTGTTTTGTGTACCTCAGTATCTCCACATCTCTGTTTTATGTACTTCAGTATACCTCCACATCTATGTTTTGTGTACCTCAGTACCTCCTCATCTTTGTTTTGTGTACCTCAGTCCCTCCACATCTCTGTTTTGTGTTCCTCAGTACTCCTCCACATCTCTGTTTTGTGTTCCTCAGTACTCCTCCACATCTCTGTTTTGTGTTCCTCAGTCCCTCCACATCTCTGTTTTGTGTTCCTCAGTACCTCCACATCCCCTTTTTGTATACCTCAGTACCTCCACATCTCTTTTTTGTGTACCTCAGTACCTCCAAATCCCCTTTTTGTGTACCTCAGTACCTCAACCTCTCTGTTTTGTGTACCTCCGTACCTCCACATCTCTGTTTTGTGAACCTCAGGACCTCCACATCTCTGTTTTGTGTCCCTCAGTACCTCCACATCTCTGTATTGTGTACCTCAGTACCTCCACATCTCTGTTTTGTGTACCTCAGTACCTCCACATCTCTGTTTTGTCTCTGAAGCATCCATGTGTGCACTATAGTACTGTACCCTGTACATTGTACTACATATACCTTTACCTTCCCGATACCTGAGGAAAGTCAATTTCTCAATTCCACAATGGCTGAAAGAACCATTGCGTTAATAACTCTGGTTCTTGCCCTGTGACTTGCAATCGGCAGTCAATAGGCTTAAGGCAACACACTTAACAACCATGCCATGAACATGTCCCCCATGCATACAAGTTTATCTAAATAGATTTTTTTCTGAATAGTTGTTCCCGCTGGTTTACCTAAAAGCGGCTGGTGATATAAGTTACGTTCATAGATACATTACACTGACTCCATACATGTATACATTATCAACCAATATAAGTCTGCAAGGTTATAATGCATTGAAGAAATACGGAAATTAAATTCTGTGCCTCTTACCAAAACTAACCACCTCAAAACTTTGTGGAAGATGATCAGGAATAAATTGTCGATTGACAGAGCATGCGCAGAGACAAAGTCGTTGACAGACGTACAAGATGATACCATTGTAAACCCCTCAGAAGACGGGTATATCCATAAAAAAGAAATACTCGAAAGACAAAAGTAAAGACTACGCTGACATATTAATGCATGCATGTTGTTTCATTGTTTCAAAATTTCTATAAATTTTCATTGTTAATCTTAGAGTAAGATATTTACCCTTACTGCCAACTCCGGCAACCCTGGATGGCGGATAACATATGGTCAGGGTAGGTATAACACTATCTGTGCTGTGATTTTCAAGCAGAAACACAGTTCTATAGCCAAAACAGAACACAGAAGTACTCTCCAGCGCATAAACAGTCACCCATACACACAGAATGTACGTAAAAGTGACATACAATATCATATAAGTTAAAGGTGGACGTCTAATTGGTCGAAGAAGAATTGAATGCTTGGATTGAGGTTATTCACTCACCCATATAATCCTAGCCAACAAAAAAAATATATAAATTTTTACTAAATCAGCATTTACTGGTAAGCTTAATCTGAAGTCAGAATTACCATATGATCCTTACTTTACCTTTATATATATTTTAATCATTTTAAAAAACACTTATTAAACCTGATTTAAAAATCTGTCTAAAGAAAGAATGAATTGATTATCATTTTCAAATACACTTGTTGAACCTGATTTGAAATTATATTTGTCTAAAATAAAAGAATAAATCAAAATATATTGCTTGCTCAGCAGAACATGATATCATATGTAAATTAACAAGTTAGCTAGACAAGTAACGCCCTGCCGAGTGTATACAGAAAGTCTCTCAAAAATGAAGAACTTGTTACAACAAGTTTGTATAAAAAAACGTCAATGCAAAATGAATTCAATTCTAACAACAGTATACTGTTACAAACACTTTGTGTACAGTGTTTTAATTTATAATGAATTAGAGTTGTAAGCCAGCTGCAGACCGACTGACTACAATATATATGTACCGTCAAACTAACGAGGTACTTCATTACTTACGTACAGGTGCCACAAATATAGAGCTCTGTAACTAGGTCTAAAATGGAGATTCCATACCAGTTTGAGAACAAACGTGTAATTTAGCACATTTTTATGCGAGATAATCAACAAGGCCCGGCCTGAGGGACGTTAATAGTCAGTACACATAATGTGTGCATATCCTATACATTAGGAGGCAAAAAAAGTCTAGAAGTTCATAAATCTCCATCTCATATGAAATCGACACAAATTCAGAATCCTTTTATTTACGTAAAACTTTTATGAATATTCATGAAAAACACTTTTTTTTTCCAGATCACCAATCAAGTCAAGTCTTCAATGTTGCCAATCTAATTAAGATATAAGATTCTTACTTATACATTGCTCCTGTTTTTTGGGATACATATATACGTAACAGGGAAGCTAGTAATTCTGTATTACATTATGATACAATTTTGTATTAAAAAGTGAAATCTGATACAGATGACTGTAAAATTACAATATTTATCCAATACGTATAACATTGATTTTATACAATTATATGTATCAAATTACATTATATACAATCACAAAAATGCATAAAAATATGTCACATATGCGGATTAACTGGCCATAAACGGCTCTATATCATTTGCCTGTCTGTGATTGGCTGAAGTCAAGCTATGTGATCATG